TGAATATAGAAACAGGATCAGCCACTCCATCCAGTGGTATAGAATAGTGCAATGATGGTACAGCACCAGGTGACCCATATACTGATATTAGACAAGTGGAAGGAAGAGGATAATTAGCTTCACCAAACTTATCAACATCACAACGTAGAAACTATTGATACACACAATGTCAGTACATATAAAGCTCATTCCTTCCTACTTTGCATGAGTCCATGTGAGGCTCAATACTCCAACCAGTGAATGGTTTCTTTTGAGGAGCATCAAGCTTTAATTCAATATATCCATTATAATCTTTGAAACGAAATAGAGTATTTTGTCCTCTTTCAGCATGAGGACAGTCTTTTTTAATAAACTACAAATAAAGTCACTATAATTACAGAATATAAGCAGGGGTACCTCAAGCAGTGCACTGAGATCTTTGGCAGCAGAAAATCTCACCAAGTCTTCAGCCCTTTTCTCCTCATAATAAACCAGTCCAGCATAAGCCATATTCTCTACTATACCAGTGGAAACTACTACTTTACCTACACAAATATACATTAATTAATATTCACTGCATGTTGATGTACTTACTATTAAAATCTGAACTAATCTCAGTACAAGGTATTGGAGCAGTTTCTTCTTCATGCTGTGGTTCTTCATGATCCTTTGACTCTTCTACTCCTTCATTATCTTCCTCTTCATTTCCTTCCTCATGTAATGGCTCACCTCCAGTCTCCCCCTCTTCCTCTACTCCCTCATTACTAGTAGACTCTCCTATATAGTGGAATTGAGATTCAGTTCATTTTATACTAGTACACACTCACTGACTCATTACTCACCTTGTCCTCCGCTGCTACCTCCTGGTGGATCTTTAGTCTTATCAGAATCACTGGATGAATCACTATTACCATCTTCCACTTCCTCCTCAGTTTCCTCTTCTGCTTGTTCCTCTTGCTCCTCCTCCTCTTCCTCTGACTCGTCTCCATTAGTTGATGATTTGGGTAGATGTTTCTCCCCAACAATAGCTACCAAACAGAACTCTTTACGTTGAATGGATCCATACCAACTATCAGCTTTAAAATCTCCTCCCTCAACTATTGAGAACTGGTAAGGAAGACTGGGTGTGTTCATGGGAGCTATAGCAAACTTAAGATGACGACTAAGAGCTGGTCGTCCTGTTAAATCAACACAGTGCTGTATTTCTAATATGAGCCGTTTGAGGAGAGGCTTTGAGAGTGATACTGCATACACAGCACTCACTAGGACAGTATTAGGAGGAAACTGGAACTCTCCTCCTACAAGAGCAACCACTGCTGCTTCTACTGTCTCAAAGGACAGTAAGCTCTCCTTTTGTATCCCAATCCTTAGGCCATATTTCTCCCAATTCATCAGTTGAGGCATGTCTCCTTGAATTAAGAACAGCTTCCTCTCTGCTACCTGGACATCACTCAGACAATCCAATTTATCTTTTAGTTATACAAAATAATATACAGTGAGTACACACACACAACTGTATACACTCAGTCAGGGTTTCCCACAAAGCATATTAAGTGAGATAAACAGCATGAGCTTCATGAGCTGACAAGCACTAACAATACAGTACATGGCATTAGTAGCAACTTTAAAAACTTATAAAAAATCCAAACTTGATCGGAATTAGCTTTGACGTTGATACAACATAAGAACATATGTATCAGAAAAAATTATAATGAAGACTTCTCTTCTAGCTATTTTTGATGAAGGACCATTGGCCCAATTTTTGAGCCACTTAAAAAAATCATAAAAATACAAACTTGATTGGAATTAGCTCAAAGTTAATAAACAACATAAGAACATGTATACCGTATATTCTTAAATAGAAGCCGGATGCAAATAAACGCCTGGGTAGCAATAGAATTGAACTATAAATACGCAAATTTAGCTTAGAAGTGACTCAGTAGCCTTGTGGATGCTATCTGTAAGTTTGTAATGCTGTGTTTACACTACATAAGTGGGCCAAACCGTGCTGAACCAGACTGAGCTGGCCCTGCTGTACTAACCATGCTGGCCTGGTTTGGCCCAGCTCACTTTAGCTCAGTTTGGTTACTGTTTACACTATCAAATGAAACTGTGCTGGCCCACTTTAAACAGGGCTGGCTCAGTTTAAAAAGCTAGTGTAAACACAGTATAAGTCAAGTACATGAGGTCATGGGTTTGAATCCCGCTCTGTGCCAAAGTTTTTTAATTTTTTAAATTTTTTTCGAGGTCCAAATTCCATTTTAGGAAATAGACGCCCGGGCTTTTATTTAAAAATATACGGTATGCACCAGAAAAAATTAAAAATTCCCTCCTTGTAAAGTTTTTGAGCAACTGAAAATAGACTGACAAGAAGCTACATGAGCACTATGTCAGGAAACCCTGCACTCAGTCAGTCACACAATAATACTCTTACCCATTGAAGGGATCAGGTAATTAAATTGCAGTCCAATGGAACTAGTCACTTTGCTTCTCTCTTGTCTTTCCTTCACTAGTTTGGCTATGTGAAAGTCTTTTTCTTTAAGGTCTATAAATTAATAGAATATTAATTATTATTATTGATTGATGATGATACACTAACCAGTAATAATCTGTTTCTCATTCTGTGATTGTTCCTCTACTTGTGATGTCAGTTTAGATATAACTTTATCTTTCTCAGAAATATCAGTTTTAAGATTTTGAACGTCGTCTACATAATAAACATACTCATATAATACATGCTGTGTGTATAGTTAACTAACCAATAATGATCTGTTTCTCCTTGAGATATTGTTCCTCCTTCTCCTCCATATCAGCAACTTTGAATTTCAGTTTCTCATAATCTTCTACATAAATAGAATATTCTTGAAATTGCTGTTGTGCTTGTTGAAGCTGCCGTTGAAGATCCTGCTCTCGTTCCCTGGCCTGTTGAATTTCCCTCTCTCTTTCTTGTCCTTGTTGCTGTGCTTGTTGAAGTTGTTGTCTGGCCTGTTGAATTTCCCTCTCTCTTTCTTGTCCTTGTTGCTGTGCTTGTTGAAGTTGTTGTTCTCTTCCTTCAAGTTGCTGCTGTAGTCTGTCTCTAACTTGTTCCTTTTCTCTTCTCTCCTCCTGTAGTTCCCTTTCCCTTTCTTGTAGTACATCTGTCAGATGGTCTATTTCTCTTCTCCTTTCTTGTAGTTTCTCTTGATACTGGTCCAGAGGTATTATACTAGTAGACCAATCATTATTGCTAGTATATCCTATACAGTAACACAATAATTCAATTAATGACAAGTAAAAATGTACATTTATACATGTAATACCGTATAGTGGGAAATTTTGGAGGGGTAAAATTTGGCTAATTGCTAAATTTTGGTGATTGGCAGATTTTAATTTCGCAAATTTGTGGCCAAGTGCCATTGAGCATGCATATAATGGCTCAAAATGGCAGATTTTTATTTTGGCGAATGGCCATCAAAATGCCAATTCGCCAAATATAATTCACTCAAAGATTTCCCACTATACATAAAAGTACTACTGTATTATGTCAGTTAATAAAACAAAAGGCGACACTGTTAATTTATAATTATTATATTCAATATTTAAAAATTGTGTATATTCAATACATTTGTATTTAAATGTACTCACTGAGTTCAATAACTGCTGGATCACTTATTGGTGACCAGTCTCTCTCTCCTCCAAACACAATTATCCAGTTAGTGATTGGAGTCACACTCCAAACTGAGAGAGAATGATAACATCTCTTAGTGACCTTGTCTGGTATATCTTTCTATGAAAAATATATATTTGTAAAATAATTAATTATATTATATCATTTATATCATCTATTTACAAACCACACCCACAAACTATAAGCCACACCCTAAACCAATATAGTGTTGTATTATTAATGTAAACCATTCTTTCAGTAATTATTAATTATTTACATTATACAGTATAACATACATAAGTACAATACTTGATTACTAGTACATAATAATAACCAGTTATGATGTATTGTTATTATATTATAATATACTTACCAGTTCCTTCCATGATTTATTGTTAATATCAAATATCCAAATATCATAAGTACGATATCCACCCACCACTAGTAGGTGTGGTCCTGAGCTAGTGTTAATCAATACACTGGAATGAGCACGTCTTTCCTCAGGCCATTGTACTGATCCTCCAGGATTAGATAACTTTGAACAATTCTATAATAATAAAATATTAATAATTATCATAAACCACACCCACACACTCAGTGTTATGAATAATAATGCACACATACAATACATTATGTAATACTTAATGCTAGTTA